AAAGCATGTATAATAACTCACCCACTGATGAAGCAGAAGCGCCTCCGAACCCCAGAAGCAGCAGAAAGAGTGTGGATCTCCTCATGGTGGGGTTTTTCAGATTGGACTGGGTTTATTCCAGTGAAGCTCCAGCAGCGGCTCGTTCTGCTCGACTAGCTCAGCTCGAGTCCTTTAGACCCTCTTATCAGCTCCGTTTTTATGATCAGGGTGTGTTTCTCTCACATTGAGGCCAGTTTCTGCCATAAAACCTGTCGATGACTCCTCTTATGGTCTTATGGTTAACCTCTTATGGTCTCGTTGCACAGTTTCGAACTGAAATAATCTAACTACTCTCCCAGAAACCTGTTCATGATTGCACATAAACCTGAGAAATGATTCATTTGAGGCAGTAGGTGAAGTTTGTGATACAATAAACATATTTCATTTGAAAACATTTGATATTTTATTGAACTAAATGGCAAGCAAGGTCTCATTCCGAACAACAAAACATTAAGTCTGATAAATATTAAATTATTATTTTAATATTTTAAATAATATTTTAAATATAAATGTTCACAGGACAAACAGCAAAACATTAATTATGATAAATATTTAAATATTAATGTTCACAGGACAAACAGCAAAACATTAATTCTGATAAATATTAAATTATTATTTTAATATTTTAAATAATAATTTAAATATGAATGTTCACAGGACAAACAGCAAAACATTAATTCTGATAAATATTAAATTATTATTTTAATATTTTAAATAATAATTTAAATATGAATGTTCACAGGACAAACAGCAAAACATTAATTCTGATAAATATTAAATTATTATTTTAATATTTTAAATAATAATTTAAATATGAATGTTCACAGGACAAACAGCAAAACATTAATTCTGATAAATATTAAATGACAATTTTAATAATATTTTAAACATTGCAATAAAATGTGTATTAATTCTAGTAAATAATAAATTATTTTAATAATGAAATATTAATGCTCACAGTACATACCACAAAAAACATTTTGATAAATATTAAATCAATATTTTAATACATTTTTTTTAAATATATAAATATTGAATTAAAATGTGTATTAATTCTGATAATAAATTATTTTAACAATAATTGTAATCATGTTCACAGGACAAACGACAAAACATTAATTCTGATAAATATTAATGATTATTTTAATGATTTAAATTTAAATATTGCATTAAAGTTGGTATTAATTTTGATAAATAATAAATTAAATAATTTAAATATTGCTTTAAAATTTGTATTTTAATAATAATAATTTTCAGTAATTTAATCATTAAAACTCGAATGTTGCGCTTGGACCATTTTGGGAGAAAAATGATGAAAACAGGCGAGAGCTTGTGCGCAGCTCCTTAATATTGAGTTCTGATTGGCCAATCGCTGTCATTTAGTTTGTTAATTATTATTATAGAGAAGATTAATATTTCATTTGTAGGACAAGTTGTAGGCCTACATAGCATACTAATCTAAAGGGGATGGTAAGGCAGATTTTACAGATTAGATGCTTTTGGTCATTTTATTTATTTTTTTAACAAGGGGGATCCCGTACTCAATTCGAGACCTGGAAATATGCATATTTTATTGGGAAACGTTTTTTTTTTTTTGCTTGTTTCAATAAATCTCATCAAACTAGCGAGCTAAGCCAGTAATAGTACTGACGGTGTTGTATGAACATGGTTGAAGGAGCGAGAAGTGGAGAAACAGACAAACCGATTCAATTGAGGGAGTCATTTTGAAGTAATTTCAATCGACTCACTATCAAAAACCAGTTCAGAAGTTCAGTCGAATTTCAACATCACTAATAATGATAAATAAAAATAAAAAAACATTAATGGGTGCAGGGATTAAAGTGTTCCGTCAGTTCACTTGCTTCATTCCTGAATGAATCAGCCGTTCGAACGAATCAATTGAATGAATGATTCAGTGATAGAAGCAGTGACTTGCCGCCACCTGCTGGCGGATTTAGTTTCATTTTTAGCCTATAATTTCAGTTATTTGAATCATATTTCTGTATTCAAAATTGTATATTTAAAACATTAATCTCCACATGAATTTATGAATGTAATTGCACTCATTCTACCTCTGAGCCTCATTAAACATCTGAAAATGTACTCTGTAGTACAAATTAAATTATTAATACTAATTTCATATGATTGGTAACTTATTTGTCTTATTCTACATATTGTTTTAAATAGAAATTTTAAAAAGCTTATAAACATAAATGTTTGAATTTGACAGATGAAAATGATACATTACAAAGGTAAAAAGAAAATACTCCTGTAAGTCACTTTAAGGAGTCAAATGTCAGCTCGTATTAGGAAGGCTAATTTTTTTATCAGAATTTTTGATTATTGATCAGAAGGTGCTCCTAAATTTTGTAATTAGGAGGACAAGCGCTCCTGATTACAAGAAGAAAAACACTGCTCTTAAACTGGGGGCTGAGGAATGGGGTTTGGTCGAAGAAACATTTTCAGTCAAAATATTTTTTTTGCTTTAACCCCTGCAATATAATAAAAAGTAGAATAAGACAAATAAGTTACCGATCATATGAAATTAGTATTAATAAATTAATTTGTACTACAGAGGTGGCACAGAAGAACACAAAAGTGGCTTGTAGGTACATTTTCAGATGTTTAATGAGGCTCAGAGGTAGAATGAGTGCAATTAAATTCATAAATTCATGTGGAGATTAATGTTTTAAATATACAATTTTTAATACAGAAATATGGTTTAAATAACTGAAATGATAGGCTAAAAAAAGAAACTAAATCCGCCAGAAGGTGGCGGCAAGTCACTGATTTTATCACGGAATCATTCATTCAATTGATTCGTTCGAATGGCCGATTCATTCAGGAATGAAGCAAGTGACTCTCTTTATGAACTGACGGAAATCCGTCGTAGCGACGGAACTGTAATCCCTGCGGGTGAAACGGAGCTTTTCGAAACTCTGTTAAACCATTGCTTCGCAAAATGATTCACTGTTTCGAAGCGCTCCAATCGGATCGCATATCGCGAATAATTTGATTCAGATCGGGACTTCGGAGCACAGATCGCGATTCACATTCTTTCTTTCCTTCTTATTAAACAGTACAAAACATCAAACCATTAAGGAAGTACAGTTATAAAAACAAAAAGAGAAAATTAAGAAAGTATTTACATACGAATCCCTTAAGAACAGTAACCATGGTTTTATTATGGTAAAGGTGTAGTAACCATGTTTTTTGGCGTATTGATTATGTATAACCACAGTTTTACTACAAATACCATGGTAAATCTATGGTTAGTGCAGTAAAACCATGGTTAATTTGTGGTTGCCATGGTTTAACTGTTTTTTTTTGGTAAGGGATGTGTTGCCAGGTTAACAAAAATGTAATAAATCATAGGATGAATATAAAGATGTAGTCAAACAAACTAAAGAAACCATATTTAAAACAGAAAGAAGTCACTTACAGCATTGCCAGGCAAGTGAATCAAACCTACACCCTTGTTAAACATTTATATATTGCATTAAAACATTTATTTCAATAGAAACTTATTTACAGACGTGAATATTTTGAGTATTTAGAGTTCTATAGTGTAAAAAATGTAAAAAAGGTAATAAAATAATTTTTAATGGGGTGCCTCATCATAAATATTGGCTGTACTTAGTTGCATGTTCTAAAACACAGGTAGCCTATAATTCATTATTATTCACTATATTAATAGTTTTATTACTTGAAATAGCAAATATTTCCATCTTAATGTCGTATCGTAATTCAAACGCTTTGCTTAGTCAGGTATAGTCGTAGTACAGTTGAGATATGAGCAATCATAATCCCACAGCTCATTTCTCTGCACAATACTCCCTCATTAGTCGGATCGGTGTTGACATAATGAAGGAATGGGTTCAGCGCGTGTTTTGCAACTGAAAGCAAAACAGATCCGGACGGGGAACTGAGTGCTGTGGAAAAACACTCTCGAAGGACGATCTGGGAGTTTTAATGAGACGCAGAGGAATAGGAAGCATTCTGATGTACCATAACAACACAACCAGTAAACATCTGCTATTCTTCCAGTAACAGGAGAGAATATGCATAGATTCCTATATCAACGAGAGCATATTTATATAAATAAATAGATTCTTATAAAAGCAGCTGTACAAAAAAGAAGGAGCAAAAGCATTCTGAAAACATGAAAATTAGCTGATAATATCATCACCCTCAGGCCGTCCAAGATGAGTTTGTATCTTCATCAGAGAAATGTAGCACTGCATCAGTGTCTCAGCAATGGATGCTCTGCAATGAATGGGTGCCGTCAGAATGAGAGTCCAAACAGCTGATAAAAACATCACAATAACCCACACCACTCCAGTCCATCAGTTAACATCTGGAGAAGACAAAAACTGAAACAAATCCAGCATTAAGACATTTTAACCTAAAATATTAGCTAAAATATGAGTCCATAATCCATAACAATGCTTCCTCCAGTGAAAAGTGGTCTGGTCTGAATCAGGAGAGAAATCTGCACAGATCAAGCACCGTTTACAAGCCAAAACAGCTCTAAACAAATATGTGTCTGGATTTTGATGTGAGAGACAACAGGAGATGCACTTTTTCACTGGAGGAAGCGTTATTATAGACTAATTTTAGCCAGAAGCAATGGCTTGAAGTTAAAAATGTCTTAATGATGGATTTGTTTCTTACAAACACACAGCTTTTGTCTTCTCAAGACATTAACTGATGGACTGGAGTGGTGTGGATTACTTGTGGATTATTGTGATGTTTTTATCAGCTGTTTGGACTCTCATTCTGACGGCACCCATTCACTGCAGAGCATCCATCGCTGAGACACTGATGCAGTGCTACATTTCTCCAAATCTGATGAAGAAACAGACTCATCCTAATCTGGAATGGCCTGAGGGTGTGTAAATGTTCAGCTTTTTTTTTTTTTGGTGAACTGTTCCTTTAAAGACACCACCAGTCAAAAGTTTGGACACATCTGCTCACCACCACATTATTTAAAAATAATAGTAAAACTGCATTAAGTAACTTTTGACTAGTTGTGTGGGTTGTTGACCTGAAAAGACACGTTTAAAGCTCTCGCACACAATTGCATAAGAATGTTCTGGCTCTTTTCAGTGTTGGTTTCAGCAGCCCTTGGGAATTCATTGGAAGCGCCACGTGATTCTCAGCCTTTAAAGTTCTGGAAGATATCGGCCACCTCCAGCCAGCTCCGGAAACACGCCAGACCCTGCTCCCGGATCTGCTTTCGGCCTTTGTCTGTGATCACCTGACCATTCTCTTTCACGATGACCAGCTTCGGTACGGCTGTGATGTTGTATCTCTTCTTCAGTTCACTGGAAAACAGCAAAAACACGTCAACACCACAAACACATGAACTTCAGATCACACAACTCACAACACAGAGTTATGCTTCGTAGCTAGTTTACACATAATATATACATTTAATACAATATAACATCATATCATTTTTTTTTCTGAAACAGCTTTAAATGTGATTTATTTCAAATCAACATAATTTTGACCAAACAGGAGTTGTTGCCATTTCAAAAGATAATGCAATAAAACAAAATGGTAAAATGCAGTACAAAAAGTCTAGCTAAAAATAATAGAGGAAATCAAACCACACAGATATTGTTGGAAATGTAAAATGTTTAATGCAATAAATAGTAAAAATAGTAAAATACAGTACAAAAAAGGGCTAAAAAATAAAGGAAATCAAAGGAACTATTGTTTTGACAAAACAAATAGCTGCTGATTTAAGGTGTAATGCAAAAAAAAAATAAAAAAATAGTACAATACAGTACAAAACCATCTAAAAAATTCTAGTTAAAAATAATAAAAGCTTTGTTTTCCATGCTGTTTTTCAAAATTATTAACAATATAATAATTTGTATTTATATTGACGGATATTACACTATATAGCAATAAATTGCAATTTTTATATAATATATTATATTAGCATACACACACTCAAAATCATGATTTAAGGTTTCCATGCTGTTTTTCCCAAAAATAAATAGAACAACAACATGTTTATTTATAATATTTGGTAACCATAAATATATAGTAATAAATTGCGATTTATATAAATAAAATGTATACATATTTTAAATTTAAAACGTATAATGCAATAAAAAGTTAAATATGGTACAATAAAATCTAAATACAAAAAAGGAAGTCAAAGGAACCATCATTTTGACCGAACAGAAATTGTTGCCAATTTAAAATATATAATGCAAATGCAAAAAAAGCTAAAAATAATAAAGTCATGTTTCCCATGCTATTTAAACAGAAAAATGTATGTGTATATATATATATATATATATATTTATTTATATTTATATCGACTGATATTACAATAAGAAATAATAATAGCACTTTTTTATATATTATATATCTACAGATGGGTAGATTGATCAACAAGTCTACTTTGCAGTGTTTCAATTTAATATGAAATCATAAAAGCTGCATGTAAAATAATTATAGAAGATTTCGCCAACATGTAGATGGAGTTCAACACATTTTGCCCAATGAATTTTAACTAAATTGGATAAATAATTACAAAATAATTTTACAGAGAAGTGCATTACATATTTTAGACTTGAGCATAATTAGAGCTAGCTATAGCAATTAATTATTAAATAGACTTTTTTTCCCAAATGACTTTTCCAGGCTTGAAAATCATTTTTTTCAATTCCCTGGTATTCCCATAACCTGATTAATGCAATAACATGGCACACACGTGCAGTGAAAATACACAGACTGTCTATTTATAACATAATCCTCCAACTGTGTGTGTGTGTGTGTGTATTAAACCTCTCATCAGGGACAGACTGAAAGCTGTAATGAAAGGTTGCTGTGGCAGATGCACAATAACTCATGCATGCATCCAAACGCAATGCAACTCACTGTTTGTAGAGATCCGTCCAGGGCAGAGCCAGCCAGTCACCGTGCATGTCATGATAGTACTCCACCATGTCTTCTGTGGATTTATCCGAGGATATGAAGACGATCTCAAACTGTGCAGGAGGCTCTCTCTCCTCCACCAGCTCGGTGTAGAAATCACACAGCAGCGGGGTGAAGTCTCGACACGGAGGACACCATGCAGCCGAGAAATACAGACCGACCACTTTATTCCCGAGCGCTTCCTCCGGATCCACCAGATCTCCTTCTTTATTCACCAGAGTCCGGCCTGAAAACACCTCGACCATCGCTCAGGAGTTTCTGTCCACCTGGATAAAGTGCCTAACTTACTGTTCAAGTCTCAAAAAGTGTGGAAAACACCTCTGCTCAATGTTCACTGCGCACTCGAGCGAGTCCTTTGACAGCGTCGCTCGTATTTACAAAGCGAGTTCGGCTCATGAATATTAATGACGTACCGTGACGTTCGACTACTGATTTGCTGACAGCGGCGTTGGACTGCAGACGCTGATCAGATGGTTTAGCTCATGAATATAAATTAGGTAAGCAGTAGACGCTCAGGGAAGGTTGCCGAGCAACGTAAAAGCTACGTAATTAATATTCATTAGATAAGGGTACGCCGCAGTACGATTCGTCTGCTTAGTGTAACGGACAGCTGAGTCAACCAATCAAGATTGAGCGTGTAAGTAGAATGAATTCCTCATTATTGGAAAAAAGTTTGACCAATTCTAAAAAGTTCTAATTACCCTTAAATACATTATTTAAAGTAAAAAGAAATGAAGTAGCCTACAGAAATTAAAGTGAACGTGCTGTTCAGCAGATGCCCGGATTCAACAATCATTAACGATAATCTCAGGTAACGTTAATTATTGATATTAGCCATTACCTTAATAATACAATGTCTGAGAATCGAAACGTTTCTTTAACTATTTGAATAGAGCTTGTATTTTCCAATAAATTATTTTAAGGATAATATAACTAAGAGACTTTAAATGTAAAAATGTTGAGGTGCAAAACCCAATTTAAATTGTACTTTTTAAAAGTTTTTCTTATTTATTTTTATAATATTATTTAATAAAATTCAATTTATTTGTTAAATTTAGCTTGAATACTTTTTCAGATTTTTCGGCATAAAGAGGCAGTCATTCGGATAAAGATTCAGACACACACATTCACATTAACTTTTTTTTTAATCTTATAAGGATAGACTTACATAAGAATTATAAAAATTACTTAATGAATTAAGTAACAGGTTTTAAAATGCGTTTATACTTAAATGAAAATAAAATGAACTATCTACATGTAAAAAAAACAAAAAAAAAACAGATTCGGTCCAATAGAAGCCATTTACCTATACGTGAAAGAACATGAAATTTGAACTATACATGTATCTGCAACAATCATCAAATTGCACTGCATTTTTGTCATCTTTTCTCTTTTTTTATACAAAGTAATTAAAGAGCAACAGCATCTTAAAGGGACCATACGTTCAATTCTCTCCACGTAGTTTAAAGTGTGCGTTTGCTCTAATTCTATATCTACACGCTTGAATTAGATATGCGATATTCAATACACGCACACATTAGCCCGCTCAACATATGTGATCTCGTCCCGATTTCGTCGCGTAAGGCCTGTTTCTTCGTTAAATATGGCACTCTTCATAGAAACGTAGTAAGTTTGTCCTGTAGCAGAACTGTGTCAAAAGGATATGATCCCTCAAATGCTGTTTTTAACACTGGTTTCTTGCCTTGGATTGGCACGCCACACAACACCAGTGCGTTTGTTCTTATAGAGCACAGCAGAAAAGAAAATACTTAGTTTAACGTTTGTTTTTACTTAGAAATGGATTCAAAAACCGTCACAATTAGCAACACAAACAAACTTTCATTTAGGGAATGAATAGCCGAAATAAAAAGACAGGTACACATGCATCACACTAACGTACGGTAACAACTCTACTCGTATCATGCAAAAAGAACGGTCTAGTTTGCGTCGCGTTTTTATCTTTTTGAAATTTCCCACGTCGACCCGACATCAAAACACAGTACAATACTACAGTAGGTACATGTAAAAGGCCAATCCCATGAGTATGTCTTTCTGAGGGGATCCGTTTGCATATTGACACGTCCGTTGTCCACTGGATAAGACACGACTCTAGCGACGGTGAGCTCATGTGGCCGTCTCGCAAAAGTCACTTAGCTCTCGTTTGGAAAGGAGAAGTAGATCAACGGTCCCGGGACGAAGCTTGACCTCTGCGTTTGGGCCGCTGATTTATTTGGTAGGCCGAGCGGGTCGCCCGCATTAAGGTTTCAAGGGCAAAACATGGAGAATCATGAATATCTTTACGCACTTTGCTGGGTGAAGCTTATGAAAAAAGCATCGGGAAATGTCCAGCTCACATTTCACCCCAAAATCATAAGAAAAGGTGTATGCATATAATGTGTTTCAAGATTTTCATTATATATATATATATATATATATATATATATATATAATTTCATATGTGTGTCTTAAACATCTATCATTTTTAAAGCTTTTTTTTTTTTTTTTAATTAACAGTTGTGTATATATATGAAAATGTCAAAATAAATATGCATAATATTTTGTGGTAATAGTCAAAGACAATTTAGATTATTTTTATTTTTGCATTTTTATGACAATAATGAAAATGTCAAAATATTTGTTAACTGTCATGAAAAATCATTTATATTTTTATCATGCCACTTTTAAAGTCTTTTGCATGACAACTATATATATATATATATAGCCTTTTATTCATGATAGTGAACACAATATTACACATTTTTACTGCCATTTATTAGCCAATTAACATGTTTAAACTCCCAATTGTCATTACTGTAATGTCAAAAAATATAAGTAAAATAATGCATTAATTTATTACAGAAAGATTTAGATTTATGGTGATTAATAAAAATGTGTGCCTGGACAGGATTTTTACAGTAGTACATGTTGCTTTGCACTAATGTATTTTTGCATTAGGCAATGACAATTTGAAGAAAAATGTGCTTAAATGTCTTGGAAAGAAATACTTTTTTTATTTCCAACATACAATGCCTAATTTTTTCATTTGATTTTGGAGTGAAATCTGACCTGTGCATTTCTTCGTGTCGCCCTTCTAGTGTTGTGCATCGAATGCAGTAGACAGCGGCTTGAGAACAAGAGAAACGCTTCATGTAAGTGTGAAAACAGGAACGCTGTGACCGGAAGCACCACAAAATAATGCAAAACACATGTATCTGCGAGGACTTCTTCAAACAACGTAACATTCCTCGGAGGGGGCCTTCGGGTCGTTTCGTACAAGTCTAATGGGAACACACAAACCTTCAGACAAAACACACATGTAAAAAAAATAATAAAACAGTGAAGTCAATATCGAGGCACAGACGTTTAGGCTCGCAGAGAGGCAAAGCGACAGAGAAATCTCCCCAAGGCTGATGAAAGAAAAACAACGCAAAAGTCACGGGGTGCAAAGAAATTCCTGAATACTTTCTTCGTTATTGCATCAGCGTTTTCTAACCGGTACGGGATTAAACACTTTGTGCGATTAGTATTGTGTAACATCTCTAAATACTTCGGGGCACTGGGTAACCGTATGATTTTTAGTGCTAAAGAGCCAAAATCATGTGCTAAGACACAATAAACCCATTAATCTACACCAAGAGAAAATGTCCACACTATGCAATATGATACAATTAGTGGGCATTTTGTATATTTTAAGTATAGCCCATTAAGTAAATTAAGTGAAATAAACTTTAGATCAATGTTAAATCAACGTTCGAAATATGAAATTCAAAAACATTTTTCATTCATTGAAAACAAACAGGGGAGCAAAACAACTCTCTAAATTTAGTGCTTAAAATAATAAAAGCTGTATTAGAGTTTACTCATGGTAATGATATATATATATTTAGATGTGTATATATATATATATATATATATATATATATATATATATAAAAAA